AAAAGGCAAATTAAAAGCATATATTTATTCATAAATTAGCTCCCCTTACTAATAATTTCTTTGCTAGAGATCCCAATCTTCCCATTCCTTTCTGAAGGTTAAAACCATATATATATATAGCTATGTATGTATGTATTATTCTCCTGTCTTTCTTTTCAATACCAAATTTTCATTATACTTTTGAATTCCAAATCATTCTCCAATCACTTCTCATTTTAATTCTATTTCTAATATTTTCTCTTAAAAAGAGAAGTAGATGATCAGAGTTCAACTTGTGTGATTGTGAGCACTTCCAAAGTTCCACAACTCTAAAATTCATAATTCTATCAAAATGGTTCTCGTGATTAAGTCAGTAAGTTTTTGTTTCTAGATTTTCTTCCATAAAAAATATTTTTGTTTTAATAATTTCTTTGAAGTTATCCTTTATTTTTATAATTTTTTTAAGTATTTCTTCAACATGGAAACCATCATGAATATGGTAGATGTGTGTGTGTGTATGTGTGTGTGTGTGTGTGTGTGTGTGTGTAATTGTCTATATTTGCATGTTTGTAATCTGATATAACTTGGGATCGTCCGTCTCCAAACCGTTTTAGATGTTGCGTCCTTGCCAAATTCAAAACATAAAAATAGAAAAGTGAAAAAAAGTTCATGAAGCTATGCCCATGCAAGTGCGCACACAAACATGCTTCTAAATTATTTATTTATGAGATTATGAATATATTAAATATTTTTAAAAATTTCTGAAATTCTAGATACATCACAAATATGTTTAAAATTATAAATCATAAAAAGAAAAGGGTGATAAGTAATATCCGTGATGATTATTTTATATTTACATGTTTAATGTGGTTTCTCAAGTTTGATACAATTACGGTCTGAATTTATTGAGTAAAATACGAAATGATAAAATTAGATAGCACGGATACCACTAACTTGTTCAATATAAATCATTTTTAGTGCAAATAAATTATATATTAATTTGATTATATAGTTTGTTTTTACGAATTTGATATAAATTAAAATACAAAAACACAAATTGTCACTGGGAAACACTCAGTTTTGATCTTAATAATAATATTAACTGAAATCTTGTTTTAAAAAAGAAGTACCTGTGAGAAATCAAATAGAATAGCGGTTGTGATCTGCGGAAAAAAGGTTCTTGAAACCTAAAAAAGTTTGAAGCCTATTTGATGAAATAAAAAGTAAAAGTCAGCGTAGACTCTTAGGTATTGTATTCTTAATACAGTGGTACACCTCAACACTTAATTTTTAATTTTGAAATTCTTTAAACCTAAGATCATGTTGGGTAGAACGGAAAACTAAGAATTAAAATTTTATCCGCTAAATTTTTGGTCCCAAGTATTTAAAATTTAAACTTTGAAGACATATCTAAAAATTGAGAAAGGAAATCAAAATATAAGTTACTAATCTTTTTCTTTTCCCCTTTTTTATTTTTTGCCAATCTTAGACCTAACCAGTGATGAAATGAGATAGATATGTGGGTAATTTATAATAGCAAAACAATTACGTAAGGTATGAAATTGACCCAGAAGCCGAAGACTGCCAGCCTAATCTAAGGAGGCAGCTTGAAGATGTGAGAGACAGCATGCCAAACACATGTACTGTCCCAAGCAAAGCCCTGAATGATATGAATTCAGTATGCAAGTGAATACAGTTTGAGAAAATGCCTTATTAGTATGTAGCATATTAGTATAGCAGCCACGAACACCAACACAATTAAAAATGTCCAGAAAGACATTAAGTTAATCGTAAGAGGATTATGAAACTTGTTAGCATTGTGATATTTTTTCTGCACATATTAATTCCTGTCAGCCTGCCAATACAAAAGCATATCCAAGTGAGGTTTCTATTTTTAGATTACTTCTCTCAATTTTGGAAAATGATTAATCCCTCTTTATTTCTTGCAGAGAAACCCATTTTATCATTCTAGTTATGGATGTCATTTCATCAAAATGTCAAAGCACTGTTTTCATTCACTACATCCTAACACAAGATTCAAAATTATTACAGAAAGCAGGCCTCCTCCGTAAATAGGGGAAAATCAATTACGGGTGAGGATATTTTGCTTACTAGTTAAGATGTCCAGGTATTTGATTGAACTAAACTGCTACAAGTACTCAACTTCGTTGGACTGTCAATTCCACTGGCCAGAAAAGATAGAAAAGAACTTCGGAAACAATTGTTAGGGGAAAAATGGCCTTGAGAAACCACATTCAATGTTGCATAAGACGGTAAATTTCTGAAAACAAAAATCATTATCGCTTTCCCCATTGTCACTACTGCTAGAGTTAACAAAATCATCTTCATCTACTTCATTGCCAGGGGGAGGTTCCAGAACACTCAGAACATTTCCTTGTAACTTCCGTTCAATACTGAAAGCAACATTTTTTTCTCCAGGCACACAACTAAAATCAGTTAATCTTTAGTTAGTCTCATTACTGCCCATCTTCAAGAAACAAATCTTACGGTTAGGAGACCTAGGAATAACACAGGAAATGATTACCAAAGAGAATACCAAAGAACAACCCCGATTGTTCTCTTTGGTAAGTGACTTTTTATTTATTCAATGCTTATGTATATGCTTATAAGACTTGGGGAACTAACAATGAGTTGAGCTGTGTCTTACAACCAGAGTACATTTACGGTTAAATGGTTAATGGCACTAAAAGCAAACTTTTAGTTTAGTTATCAACTGTACCAAGATCAAATCACAAAGCCTCTTAAGCAAATAGCTGAAGGACTAAACTTTGGTGTGCCAACAGCAATACTGATATAAAATCTCTAACAACTTAATATAAAGCTTTGGTGAGTTGAGTTGTCAACATTTAATATGTAACATATTTATAAAAGGTACCGTATCGAATCAGTGTAGCCTAGAATTTCAACTAAGTTACTAAAAAATGTCAACATTGCAAAATGAGCATGAATTTATAAATCACCTTAAAATAAATAACCTCAGTAATCTGAGTTATGGAAATCCAGAGTTCCTATAAGAATAAAACCTTTTATTTACTAAAATTGGACACTTCGTATGTAATACTAGAAGGCATCAGTCGTATCAGAATAGCTTAGAATTTCAACCAAACATGTCAACACTGCTACAATGAGAATGGATAAATAAGGCATTAGAAAACTGAATTACATTAGCAATCTAATTTAGTATAGAAACAATAGTTACAAAAACCTGACTTTAGCTCTGCACTTTTTGACATACTGTTTCCAAAAACTTGGGCGTTCGCAGGGGGAGATAAAATTACATCACCCACCGGCCAAATAGAAACCCACCAAAACTGACCTCAAGAGCTGTAAAAAACTAAATCCGAAAATAAAAAAGGTCCAACTAGCCACAAAAACCAAAAATATAGAACAGGAATGATGCTTTAGCATGTGAATACAACTGAATCCAAAGCCAAAAGTCACAGAGACATGTAGAATAAACAATGCAAACTGATTGAAAGATTCCTCAAAAGATACCGTAGAGCAGCAATATAATTATGGAAAACAAACATAATGGGGTTCAATCAAATGAAGTAGAGGTCATATTATGCAGGAGAGAGAGAAAGAGAGAGGCAGAAGGGTGAGAACCATACCTGTGACAGCAACAACATGGAGGTGAGAAGCAACAAATCAAGACCAAGGGTGTTGAGAGCCGAGGATAGTAACAATTTGGGAGACCACGATTGTCAAAGAGAGAGTGGAACAAAAAGTCTATTAGCCTTAGGAGAATGGAAATGAGGTAACAGGTCTGAAGACCCAATACCGGACCCGATCTTTTTTAACCAGGTCTAAGATCCACAAGTCTAGACCAATTTAAGGAATTTTAATAGGTCCACATTCTCAGGACCATGCATTTTATATTGGGTCCAAGTCAGACCCAATCCCTTGACAGGCCTAGCTCATGGCATATGTTAAGATGGATGAGTTACAAACCTGAAAATTCCAACAACAGAGATTGCTGTGCAGTTGTTCGTATATCAAAGAATCACATTCAAACCACTGCAATTTTGCAAGCTAGGTTCATTGATTGACTACTGTGAAGATTAACCAACCACCAACTAAATTGCAGATACCAGATGACCAGGAGAGGAAACATAGAACTCTAGGAAGAAAATTTCTTCTCTTTTTTCTCTTTCCAGATAAACACTTCACCTAAAAGTTTTTCATTCCATCTCAAAACTTCCACAAACCCATCTAAAAGTTTTCATTCCATCTCAAAACTTCCACAAACCCATCCACAGAACTGCCGTTTCTGTGAATGATTCTCCATGAATTTAGAAATTATCTGTAAAACGATTGCCAGCAAGGCTAATTAATCACTTTAATGGCTGGCCTACAGAACTCACAGTAAACATATTTTTCTTCATTCCCAGGTAAATTGCCAGAAATTTCTCAGCCAATGAAAGCCTTTTTCCGTTGTAGAGTTATGAAATGTGTCAACATAGTGATCACCACATTGCAGGCAACCCAGAGCATCAGAGGTTCAAATTCATACCTGGGAACCGTTATTCTAATGACTCAGAGAATCTGGGATCTTCAATTTCGACCATCATCAGAAACAACTGGAAGCATAAATTTATCACACTAATTTTTGCACATTATTCTACAAATACCTTGTCTTCACTCTTCTCCTATCCCAATTCAATCAATATAATCCAGAAAACCAAAATGACTATTTCTAAATTCCATTAATAAATGTTTTCAAGCAAGCAAGACAAGTACAGCTAGCTTCAGATTTATATGTCCTATTAGCATGAAATGTTTAGCACTTTACTTTCATCTTACGGCTGCATTCCTTCCTGATTCAGTTTGGTGCAGAAGATTAGTTCATTAGCACGTACTCAAGACCTTTGAAGGATGAATAGCCAGAAAAGTTTCATAGCTTTGGTATCCATATCCTTGTTTCACAATACAAGAACACAAAGATTTCATGTTATGATTTGACATAATTTTTACATGGCAGCTATCCAATAACCATTCACTCAAATACTGACATATTTGGCAATATCATAAGACAATAACTGAAGAATTGGGTAAATTCGGTCTACTTCTGAATGGGTTCCATCTTTTGCAGTAAAAATATGGTTCTTTCCCTTTATTTCAATCCAACTACAACCCAACTCCTTTCTTGCCTCTCTTTCTGACATTTGTCTCCTCATTTCCATTACCTCCTTCCATCTCCCAGCTGAGGCATAAATTTTAATAACCATTAACCATGCAGTTGAATTATAAGGTTCAAGTTCCAAAAGCCGATCAGAAGCATATATGGCTAATTCCAAGTTGCCCCAAATCCTACATCCATTCAACAATGTCTTCCAAAAGACAGGTGTTGGCACATAGGGCATTCGCGTTATGGTGTCATATGCTTCCTTAAGCAATCCAGCACGAGAAAATAGGTCCACCATGCTGGCATGGTGTTCTGGCCCTGGTAAAATCCCATAATCCACTTCCATACTTCGAAAATATTGCTTTCCTTCTTCTATGAACCTGCAGTGGGTGCAACCATATAAAACTCCCAGGAAGCTGATTCTGTCTGGTAAAAAATGAGCCTTTTGCATCTGATGGAAAAACAGAATTGCCTCTATACCATAACCATGCTGCCCAAAACCCATGATCATAGAGTTCCATGTAACAGTATTAGGCCACTGTATACCCAAGAAAACACACATTGCATTGCTGAAACTTCCCGATTTTATGAACATAGATATAGATGAATTTCCTATGTGAACATTGCTTTCAAAACCTCTTTTAAGGAGTTGAGAGTAGACTTGCTCACTCACTGAAAGCATTGCTAGATCAGCAGAAGCAGCCAAAGCACTAGTAAATGAATGAGAAGTTGGTTCAACACCTTGCACCAACATCTCTCTGAAAACATTTAAGCTCTCAGCAGACAAGCCATTTTGCTGAAAGCCTGATATAACAGACGACCATGAAATTGAGTTAGGTTTAGGCATCTGTCGAAACAAGTGCCACGCATCTTCTACCAAAGAAACTTCGCAAAGTGCTGTAATTATCGCCGTCCAACTGACAACGTCTTTACATGGCATCACTATAAAAAGTTTCAGCGCAATGTGAGCTTTTCTTTCTTTGGCATATGCCATAATCATGGTATTCCAAGAAAAAGAATTCCTGTCGGGCATTTCATCGAACAGGCTCCTTGCATTGCTAATCATATTGTTCTCGACGTAACCTTTTATCATCACATTCCAGCAAACACTGTCTTTGCATTCCATTTGATCAAAAACTTTTGTTGCCTCGTCAACTTCTCCTTTAATCGAGTATTCTGATATTCGTTTTGTCAACGTCACCGTATCTTCCCGCACCGTCAATGCACATGACCTATACCCATTTCGAGATTGCAAAGCAAAACTCACATTTATCCTGCAAAACATTAGAGCAGTTTCACATAAAGATTTGACTACCCTTTTGCTCCCCCGCAATGGCACCACCATTTTTTGGCTTATAGAAGCCTTCACTTTTACGAGAAATTTTGTGGGAGGGATAGTTGATGCTAGCAATTTACAAAGGCACTGAAATGCAATGCTTTGACGCTTAGACTCGGGTTCGGCATGGCTTAGTTGACGGCGGTGGAGGTGGGGCAAGAATATAAGGCGGGGCTCGGACAAGATCAGGCACACCTTCGCTCCGATTCGGTTCCCTGTTGGTTGCATTTTAATATTTGAATTACATTACTTGAATTTAATTAAAATATTTTGATAAATTAAATTTAATTATAATTATTTATAATTTAAAATAAATAAATTATTTTAAATTAAAAATTTTAATTATATTTAAATTTAAATTTTGATAGTATTTTTATTAAATAATAACTTTAGACATATATTAATGAATTTAATTTTGTAAAAATTAAATTTAAAAAATTAATATATTTAATTAAATAGAATTTATAAATTAAAATATAAATAGATAATTTTATTATTAATTTTTTAATTATCAATTTGACTTGAATATAAATTAATAAACATATACCTTTTAAAATTTTTAATTAAATTCGAATATATAAATAAATAATCAGAATCTAATTTAAATTTATCTAATTTAATTTAAATTTAACTTATTTAACAGTTCTACAAGAAATGTATATTCAACAATATAATTATAAATTACTAAATGTTTTTATTATTTTTAACTTAATATTAATATAAAATAAGATATTAATATATCAAATATTCATAATATTGGTACAGCCTGCTCTTTTTGAATCGGGCTGGCACAGTGTTGGCCGGTCGGGTCTTGCCACCCTTCAAAAAGATACATAGGAGAAAGGAAACCAGTCGACTGACAAAAAATGATTAAAAATTTAATCTTGAAGTGTATTTTTAGTTTATTTTTAAGGTACAAAATTATATTATTCTTTATAAATTTATTCAAATAATACTTAATTTTATTTTTATAATAAAAAATACTTTTTTTAGCTAACTTTAGATCAATAGTTACTTGATGGTTTTATTCAAAAATAGTAATAGTAACTCAATTTCACGTATTTCAGTTACTCATCTGATTATAAATTAAAATATTATGTGATTCACTTAAAAATTATTTTTAAAATTTTTAATTTTTAAATTTAAAAAAATTAATTAAAAATATAACTTTTGAAAATTTAATTTATTATTTTTAATTTTTAAATAATTTTTATTTATTTTTTAGTTCTATTTAAATATTGAAATAAGAATAGTGTCATTTAAATTTAAAAAAAGAGATGAGTGTCATTTAAAAAATAAAATAAATTATCAAAAGTGAGATGGTTTATGTAATGACCCTAATTAATTTTATTTGAGAATTTATTTAATTAATTAATTCTAATTAGGGGTTTCATCAACAAGAATTGAAGTTTCTGGGGCTAATCTAAAATTTCGAAGGAGTTAGTGTAACAACCCGAGAACTACTGGTCCTGACAACTTGTTGAGTCTGAACTACTGGCCCAAAATGCTTAAACACAAGTTATTCAGTAGTAATCTCTAGTCTCTTATAAGCCCAAGATCTCTCCTGTGTTTTGTCGATGTAGGATTCGCCTAAGGGTATCACACACACTCCCCCTTTGGGATGTCACATATACACCCCCCCTCTTTGAGACTCAGCGAAGACTCTCCCTTTGGGGTGTCACAGTTAGTTGCAGAAAATGGTGAGATCTAGGGGTTTAATTGTTAAAAGAGGAGCATGGGGCCAAAATGGAAACACGAGTTATGCCAGGGACTTAATTAGAAGTTCGACAAGGGTAAAATTGAAGAAAACAAGAAATAAGAGGACCTGATTGTGACAGAACAGAGAAATCTGGCTCAACAGTGTTTGAACTGATTGAGCCACGTTTCGCATGAATTTGGTAATGATTTCTATTGAAAATCGAGGCCTTTGCGTGCGTTTTAGTGAGGCACACCAAAGCCCTCCATCAATTTCACATATTGGATGAAAAATCAGAAAGAAATTGGAACTTTGGTGTTTGATAGGCCTGTCAACTACCAAACAGGATTTGGGAGGATTTTTGGGGTTTTAAATTGGTTTCTTTTTTGATTAGAAGACTTGGTGAGGCATGCCTTGTCCAGATTTTCATCTCGGTGTAGTTGACCGTTTAAGGTAAGCGTGATTTTCGAGTGAATTTGGGGTTTTCTCAATCAAGTTTGTTCTGGTTTCCGTTGGGATTTCGAGTCAAAGGGAAGACCCAGCTGGCTTTTTAGGTTTTGGGCTATCTGGGTTTTGGGTTGTCGGGTTTAGGCTATCTGGGTGTTGGGTTGGACTAAAAGGGTTTGGGTAATGGATCTGGGTTGAGCTAAGCACAAGTCAACCAAGTTGGGTTAACTCAGTGGTGGGGGCTTGTGTGATCCGACCAGTCCGAGGGATGAATAGGCCAGTTCAGCATGATTTAGAGTTAGTTTAAGGGTCCTTTGGCTGGTTTTGGGTGGATAGGTGTACTAACTTCTTGGGTGTTGGCTGGTTCAAAGGTAAAAACAGGCAGTTCAGTGTGAACTGAGGCGATTCAGTGTGCTATGCTTCATTTTATGGCTGGTTCAATGGAAGATGGCCCCGGTTTCAAGGTGTTTTGGGTTGTTAGAAGGTGAATCAGTTTGGTTCAATGAAGGATGAGTCTGGTTCAATGGTGTTTTGGCCAATTTAGTGCCAGTTCATGGGTTTTATAGCCGGTTCAGGGGTTTTCTGGCCAGTTCAATCCAGTTTCTAAGGTTTTGGGACCGGTTCAATCTGATTTTGAGGGTTTCATGGCCGGTTCAGTTCGGTTTAAAGTAGTTTTAGGCCAGTTCAAGGGTTTTGAAGGTCGGTTCACTACGATTCAAGGGTTCTTAAGGGATATAGATGTGTCTACTTGAGTCATGTGGGCTTGTGATGTTGGGTAGTGATGCCTCGGGATGTGTGCCAAGGTGCTGAGATGGGATTTGAGCTTGATTTGAGTTGTCAAGCTCATTTCTTATGTCGATTTTGGTGTTGGTGATGATTTTGTGTTGTTTTGGTTACAGATACACGAACAAAGGCACACTTGAATTGGTGAGTCGGATGAGGATGACTCTGGACTTCTTTTCTAGCTTGGTTTCAGTACTGTAAGTAATGATACCTTTCTTATATATATATTTTTCATACTGTGTTTTTTTGCACGATAATTATGTGGTTTCGTAAACTGTATTTTAGTTATGTGTTACACTTTGAATATGTGTTATGTAGTTTATAAACTGTCAGTGAGCTATGTTGATATGATGATACTGGTTTTTGATATATTGACTGTATTTGTGTATGTATATCTGCTTTGACTCATATGTAAGGATAATATCTTGTGATGTGATTTGGGGACGTCAAGGCTCGGCTAGAGAACGACGATGTCATAGCGTCCAGCGCAAGAGCCTAGGCCCAATGTGAGGCGACAGGGGCCACAGGACATGTTGCGCACTATCATGATGTGTTGGGATGCTAGGGACTCAGCTGACGGATGGTGGGTCGTAGCATACAAGGAGTGCCTTGGGCCCAATGATATGATATAATTGGGATGCCAAAGGCTCAGCTGGCAAACAATGGGCTATTGTAGTGTGCGGGGGTGTCTTAGACCTAATGATGTGATATGATACTTGGTTATTATAGTATGATCACAAACGTGTTTGGATGTGTTATACTGGTCACTGTATATATGTATGTATATGTATAGTTTTGAACTTAAGATGTGATATATATCCCAACATGCATAAGTTAGGTATCATCTCTACTCACTAAGTTTCGCGACTCACATTTTATAAATATTCTAGATTTTATTTGCGGTTCTTGCCTTATTTGATGTGCCAGAGTCAGAGTGTGGAGCAGTGTATTATTGATGTGTAGGTATGTTTCTTCGTTATTCCCTTTTGTACTTTAGTGTTCATTTATCTTTCAGACCGAATTCCTAGATTGTTTTGAGGACTTGTGTTGTTTACACTTATGTTTTGGGTTAGGGTATGTATGCGTGATGATTAAGAGACTTACTAGGGTTGGTGGGCCCTAATACTGGTCACGAGTCTAGGGTCAATCGTGACAGTTTAAATTTTTTTAAAATTAAAAATAATATATTTAAAAAATAATTTTTAAGCAAATCAAATAATATTTTAATTTTAATCAGATGACTAATCAAAGTATATGAAATTAAATTACTCTCACATTTTTTTAACAAATCCATCAAACAACTTTTAATTAATAGTTAATTAAAGTGTTTCCCACAATTGTCATGATCAATATGCTAGATCCGTAATGCTAAAATTAGAATAGAATGTAATTTAGCAGGCTTAACTGTCATACAGTATTTACGTAATGACTCGATGTCACGACCCAATCCAGGTCCGTGACTAGCACTAGAGTCCACAACCCTAGTCAGCCTAACAATACAAAACCATACCTGAAGATCAAACAATTCACATTTATATACATCAAGCACTCTAAACGTACATACAAGATCCTATCTGAGAGATATAGGGAGTATTAGAGTACAAAAATAGATAAATAAAAGGACATGCCCATGCATCGATCGACTCGAGAAGCGCGGATCTGGAACACTGCTATCTGGTACACGAACGATTAACTCGATCTGAAAAGATAATAAGGTGTGAATCGCGAAACTCAGTAAGTAAGGATGATACCTAAACTATGCATAATAGGATATGTATCACATAATTAGACCAAAACATACACATATATACATATACAACGAACAATATCAACATCCAAATAACATGTGGGGCACAACAAATTCCACACGAGACCCTAGTCTTGTGGCTCTCACGATCGGAGGCATCCTCCATCTCACAATCAAAGGCATCACAAATATATCAGATGGCCATCTTCCGATCGGAGGAATCCTCCGTCTCATGATCGGGGCCAACTCAATCACATGTCACGCTCCCGATAGGAGGCATCCTCCATCTCACGATAAGAGCAACCTAGCCTCATCACATAACATGACTCCTCACATGTCAAGTCAAATAAGTATATACATATGAATGCATAGTCATGTAAATCGATAACAATATACTGACATAGCTCACTGTCAGTTTATAAAACATATAACACATATGCCAAAATACTATAAGCCAAAATACAGTAAGAGTCAATAAGTCCATCATACTAGGAAAAACATATTGTAAAATGCATGCATAGAGAGGGTATCATCACTCACATTATGGGTTGAATAAAAAAGTACAGTCCTAGGTCACCTCACCTGACTTGGTGGTCCGGGTGTACCTTTGCTGAAGAATCTACAATCAAACCACAAAACTGTCACCATTGCCAAAATCGGCACAAGAACAAACTCAAAAATCTCAAATCGAGCTCAAATCCAACCCGGTGCCCTGGCACGCATCTTAAGGTATCACTACCCATCACAGAATTCACACTTCACTAACACTCAACAATTTTGCTCAACAACCCTCAACAATAATGAACCAGTCTCTCCAACCTCGAACCAGAGTGAACCGGCCTCAAAAACTCTCAAGCCGGCCTAACCCAACCCAAAACTACATCAAACTCAACTCAATTGGCCACAAAACCCTCAAAATTGGATTTAAGAGGCCTCAAAACCTACTAACCAGTCTAAACCAGCCAAAAAGGCTTTTAACCAGCCTTGAACCAGCCAAAAACCCTAATCTTAAGTACTGGCACACGAATCGAGCCTGGTTCACCTTGAACCGGACATTCAAAAATCACCAAATTACATGGTTAACTAGGTTCCATCATGTTGAACCAGGAACCGGTTCAACTCTTCTAAGAACGGTCTAAAAACTGGTGAATCGGCTGCTTGAAGGGCACCCCACTAAACTGGCCGATTCACCTTGAACCGGCCATCCAAAATTCCCCAATACCATCTGGTCTGATAGCCTTCTTCCCAATAGACTAGGAATCGGTCCAAATGCCCAAAGAACTGGCTTAAAAAGCCTAGAACTAGCCGGTCAAACTTGGCCGGTTCATTTGCCCAAAACCCTAACCCTGAGTATTTAATTAAATAGTTCCAGTTTATTCTATCCATACTATCCCCAATCAACCCTTATCCTGGTTACCCTTATTCTCAAGGATAACATATTCCAACCTTCACTGAGTCAACCCAGATGGGTTGACTCGTTTTCATCAACTTAGGGCTGAGTTGATTCTCTAAGTCAACTCGGCCTAGCCTGCCGGGTCTAGGCCAGCTCACAGCCTAGACCGCGGGTCCACCTTCCCTCCAGCTAGGCCGAGCTTGGCCCAAGCCGGCCCAGCCCAACCAAGACAGGACTCGGACCCTTTCGGGTCTTACTTCCTTACCCGAGTGCCTGTAATTGTACCCAGCTACACTGAACAATAACAAAAACCAGTAGAGAAGACTTACCTCGATCCGGCAACACTCGGAAGACGGATACCAAAGCCCGACGGGCTTTATAAGGCTTTTAAATCAGGCAATCTCCTGATCAAAACCCAGAAATCAAAGGAAAAACCTCACAAACCGTCGAACTGCCGACTGCCTCAACCCAAAATTCTACCTTTTTCTCACACAATTAAAGGAAATAGTTGAGGGTTTGTGTTCGCCTGGCTAAATAGGCCTAAAAGGTGACAAAATCCAAAGCAAACAGCTGCAATTTGTCAGTGCATGTTGATCGCATAGATTGGCAGCCGACTACAGATCCCCCTTTTTTTATCAAGTCCTCACTTCTTGTTTCTTTTTCATTTTGGCCCCTAGTTTTTAAAGTTTACTCAATTAGCCCCCATTTTCTTAATTAATCAAAATTTTCTATTATATGGTCATAACACCTAAGAACTAATAACTCTAGTAACTTATTGAGCCTAAATCATTAGCCTAAAATACTTAAACTCAAGTTATTCAGTATATCAGAAATCGATGTGAGATAAAATATCACAATCTTCTCTACTTAAATACTTGACATTCTCATTAAGTCACAAGTCTATATTCATGTCCAAACAGAATAAGTTCAAATATCATTTTATTTTGATAACATTTGTAACAATCCAAAAACTACTAAATTAGCAACTTATTAAACTTATACTACTAGTAAAAATGCTTGAGTGCAGGTGGTTTTAAATTTTTATATATCATATTATATTATTTTAAAAAATTAATGTAGAAAAAGATATTATAACTCACTTATTTAAAAATTTGACATATTTGTAAAGTAAAAATTAATATTTGTATTTAAACAAAACAAGTTCATAAATCATTTTATTCTAATATTATTTTGTCATGATGCAATGCTACATCCGGTATTGTTGCTATAATTAGATTAAAATATGATTTAGTAAATCTAATTTTATATAATATTTATGTAATAATTTAAAAATTATTAATTTTAATAATTTATTAAATTTAAATTATTGATTTAAAATATTTAAATTAAATTGTTTAATATTTTAAAAATTGATAGGATGATTGGATTTTTTCGGCCGTGTAGTTCCAAGTTCGCGTACTTCGGCTTCCGGATTCTTCTCCTTCGTTCTTTTCGCCAGCGAGTGGGTAAACGTGCGCACACTACTGCGTGATAAAGCTAAAATACGCCGCCTTCCCGCTCGTACACCCAAATGGACCGAATCGACGATTCCTATAAATATCCCGTCATCGTACGTCCCCTGGTGGGTATTGCGTTATTTATCACCGAAATTTAGCTTTTAGACGGACGAATAATCTGACGATCATAATCGATTAAAGTTTGAGGTACATATATTTCTAAATCTCAACCGGGTTTATGCAATAAAGTCGTAAATTATGTTATAATCCTCTGAATTAAGCTTCTTTATATAGAAAACGCTTAAATTTCTTTGGCAATTGGACTTTCATGGGGGAACTTTTCTCCAGTTTCTGAAAGTTGTATGCTATTGACGTTTCTTTGGTAAAAGAAACATTATTGCCCACCAAATATTGTCGAATTTGGTTGAATTTGCAGAAGGTTTTTAGTTCTTGAAGCTTAAATATGCGAATTTTAGTTGGTGATGATCAAAATCACCGTGGGATTCTCTCGAGTGGGTTTTGCTGTGTTACAGATTAAATATAGTAGCGATTAAAGTGAGAAAATCGGGTTAATTTGCCCAAATTTTCCAATCAATTTGTGGCTTGAGGTCCAATTTGGGGATTCTAGAGTTTTCAATACTGTCTGGCTTAGGTTACCTCTTTCATACGTTAATTCGTTTGTGGCATGTTTATCTTTCGAACCTATTCATGTTAAATCCATTTTTGTGGCTTGAACTCTAATTTGGAATCGTGCTTCTTTCAACTTTTAATGCATTCTAGTCTCTGTCAAAGATTTACAACTCCTGAACTTATAATAATTTGCCACAGTTGTGTGGTGCAAATTGCTATTGTGGCTTATAATTTGTGGCAGCATACAAAGCTACAGGGGTTATGTCCGGTAAATTAGGTATATTTGCTTTTTCTTAGATTAAACAAGTATAAAGTATGCTAAGTTTGGCACATGATGTCATGGGACCTCCTGGAAAAATCTCTGCCTCTATGTTGCATGAGTTGTTAATGTTCTTATAGCACTTAAATAATTATTTGCATAATTTTAAATAATAGTGGTTGTACCCAGAAGCTTTTGCATGGGCATCATTTCATAACTAGTTCATATTGAGTATTTTTCCTTTTTCTACAATGTTGACAGTGTTCTGAAGTTGTGAATTTGTATTCAAAATTGCCATAGAAATTACTTGCAATGTATATGAAGCATTTAAACAGTACATCTTAATGCAAAGTAGTTGATGATTTAGTCATTATCATAAACTATTTTTCTGCATGCTACAAATAGGAATAGTTTATTTTCCTGTTAAAATTGTGCTACTTACTTTTGCTGGTTTTTCTTTCAGTACATCATGCAGCTGCAAGAAAACACACACAATATCTCCGTTTCATGGAGGGGGAAGAAGTTTGTTGTGGAGATGAATTCAGGTGCTACTCTTAAGGAGTTGGGAGATAAACTGCTGATGTTGTCCAATGTTAAAGCAGATACTTTGCGACTCATTGTACCTCAATCTTCCAAAAGTTCAAAATTGTTATATCCTTTCTCTGATGAGCACTCTGGCATGAGTTTGGCAGAAACTTCCTCTCTTGAGGTGAAATTCTCTATTTTATTTTGATGTGGTTGGTAAATAAGTATAAACAGTACACATTTACTCTATCATTAGATTAAGTTAGTTTCTCCTTTAGACATGTTCAATTTTGTATCATGACATTATTTAGGAGAATCAAGCAGTGATCTCACTCAGAAACAAAACTCCTGTAGTTATGAATGTACTTAACCAAGTATGTGGCAACTTACTCTGTACATCTTGAAACACAAGAATGCAAGAGGTTGTTGGGTCATCCAGCATTCATTTAATTTTTCTCGTTTTTCGGTCTTATATGTTACTTGAGTGAAACAAAAGTCTAGAGTGTCATTTATCTGATCATCCAGCATCCCCATTTTTTTTGCTGGCTCCAATAAAATTTGAAGGAGCAAAGAAAAATGTCCTGATGTGTTTCAAGTCATGAAGCAACTTTCGGTTCTGCCATTGTGAATGGGAAGCAAATTTTTGTCCCGCCTAAAAATGTTGTAGATTGTTGTTGTTGTGGAGCATTATGCCTAAAATTTCTGGAAGTTGTAGCTCTTGTGACTTGCAAGAAAATGCATGGAGTAAACACACATATGTAAGATGTTAAGAAATTCAACTTATTGAATGTTGTAGCCATGCTTCAAAATCTAATACTTGTTGTATGGAAATTGATTACATAAATTTCTATTCAGGGAAAGTCTATCAGGATGATGGGCGCCCCCAAGATGAGGTAGATGAAGTTCTAAAAAATGCACAGGCCAACCTAAGGATAGCTGGGTTTGAGGAAGAGGAGAAGAGACTGAGGCTGAGAATATTGGAAAGACCTCTTAGCACACTAAAACTTCCACAAGGATCTTACATCTTTTGTGAATTTCGTACACTTCAGCTTCCAGGAATACAGGTATTATTGAATTTGCTGTATGAATCTTAAGAATTAGCTTCTGCAACCATGCAGTTAGGCTGTCTAGTCTTGCTGCGGAGATTGAAAAAGGAAACAAAATTAAAGGTTCAACATTGTTCATTTTTCAATTTTATGATGGGTAATGACTTAAGCTTTATTCGGCAATGTATTCGGTGGGAAAATTAGAATACTGATTTAGGCACAAGTGTATAAGTTTGAACATAGCATACTGCAATGTATATCTCAGAAGTTCAATTGCTTATTGGAAAAACAATAAAATAAAAGAAGGTCAATTAAATTAGTTAATTTATATTTTAACCGTAGGAAGTCAAATTGGAAAAAGGGAGAAAGTGGGAATCCCAAGCAGTTCAAAAATAATAAGAATAACTGAAAAAGCAAGTGATTGCTGCAAAAAAGTAGTAGTTTGTTCTAGCACTACCACCTTTAAAAAAAAAGGGATTTTCCAATACTTAGGATACAAAAAGTAGGTTACCTTTTAAATAATAATAATAATAGCTTAAGAGTTGAATGATTGTTGCAATCAAGAGGTAGTTTGTTCCAGGAAAAACATGTTACAAAAAAAAGATCTTTTAGTACTTAGGCTACAGAAAGTAGATTATGTTCATGCTATCTGTCTAATATAAAATAGTAAATACATTAAAAATGTACTTTTGTCTCGTGTCTTGTATTTTCAGAAACTCACTCTTTTATGCTTCCATGTGTGGTCCAATTGAACACAAATTCCGATGCCTCATCCAATTGAACACAAATTCCGATGCCTCTTTAGCGTCCAATATAAAATGGATAAGCAATTGATTGTATTGGATATGAGACTTCTGTTGCTTGCTACCAAGTTGCTCGTTTTTAAACAAATCTATAAAATGCTTTCCTTTGCAATGTGGGTCACATGGGGATTTAAAGTGAACTACTCTCTGATAGGCAAAAAAAGGGCATATGTGAATAAGGCCTGGAGAGACTAGCGTGGGAGTTTGTGGTTGTTTGTCATGTTCGTATGTTGATGCATGTTGAGTTCTTGTTGTATAGAATATTACCGAAATTATTTACAACTCATATATCATAAAAATAGATGAATTGTGTCAAAATTCTTGTTTTGTATTGTCGAAATCAATATTGCCACTTCTAGTGGAGACCGTTATCGCTAAGGATGATCCTGAGCATTATTTGAACCTTGATTAAGATAAGGGATTTGAGTGGGAGGATTTTCACTTTGTCCGCACATTGCATATTTAGTAATTGATTGTGTAGAATACTCCCAAGTGACCTGCTTGAGCATTTTGGGTTACTAAATAAGGTTCAATAAGTTTGCAACGCCAGTGGTTTACATAGGGGTAGTATGTTTTTACAATGAGAGTTAGGAATCATATTTTGGGGTCACTAACCTCAATGAATCATATTTTTCTTTGTTATGTTTTGGAATGGGGTAGGCTTTCTGGTACTCTAAATCCACATCTAAAGATATCGAGTGTGCAAAATGTAGCTGTAAAATTGAAATTTTATTAGCCCTGTTTCGTGAAGATTTGGTGACCCCGTTTCTGCTCCCTTGCAGTTGAATCCTCCAGCTTCAGAGGCACTTAAACGGATGCATATGCTTGCTGCTGATCCAGGAATTGTAGCTATCATGAATAAGGTATTATTTGTGAAATTGCTCTATAGTCAAGTAGCCATAAAACCATGTGATGTTTGTTTTCAGTTCTGATGATGCACTGTTTGCTGTGCTTCTTAAAAGCATCGTTGGCGGGTTGGAATCATGACAGAGATGGCACCAGTGGGTTATGTAGGTGTCAGTCCTAAATGCATTCTTGGCTTCAACAAGGTAAGGGAAACATTCTAGGCCTTGTGAGGGTACCAAAGTGTGGCATTAGGCCCATTTCTTTTGTTGGTTTAATTTCTGTTTGGTCCTCAGAATCATGGAGAGGAGATATCGCTGCGACTTCGAACTGATGACCTCAAGGGGTTCAGAAAATATGAGAGTATTAAGAAAACTCTACTGCATGAACTTGTATGGCTTTT